TACATAATTAAAAAAAAAAAAACAGAAATTTTGCATTCCAACGTACACGTTAACAAATTTAAAACCGTATTTGACCTTCAAAAGAATCCAAACTAGTTTAACAAGTACATTATTGTCAGAATAATTACAATTAAAAAAAACCAGTATTCAGTTTTAAGGAGCCAAAAAAAAACCAAAATATTTATAACATTTTTAAGCTCTTATTTTTTACTAAAATAACCCTTAAGTCATAGAACGCACGTCTCATGTTCCAACACTAGAAAAACAACGGCAAGTTCTGCTTATACATGAGCCGCCACTTTTTCCTCGTGTTTGACATAATTCTTGACAGTCGTCTCGACATGGCCGTCGGTTTGCTATTGACGCATTCATACCTGTAATTAATGAAAGGGTTATTGTGGCTGCCACGTAATATATCAGAATCGATCCTGACGACGATTACAAGTGGTAATAGTATTTACACGCCCACTAAATTTATCAATCGTGATTTCGATCCGATAGTATATTCTGCGAAGCACTGCTCTTGCCAGAGCTAGTGTTCGCAAATTCTCTAAGATTGAGAGGGTGTAGCTGAAATAGCCCCATAGGCTACCAGCGAACAGGTAGGGGAATAAGTATGTATATCGTAAAAATAAATCTAAAATATATATTAAATTGTGTATATATATATGTATTGTGTGTATATATGTAGGTATGTATGTATGTATATGTGCCTGTGATTGTGTATATATGTAGATATATACTTTTTTGTGTATGTATTCGTAACTTAATATAAATTTCATTGCACCTACCACTATTTACTCCGCACCACCTTTGGTTGACTGGTAGAGAATGCCTTAGGCATTAAGTCCGCCAATGTAAATTTTACATGAAGTGCAATAAATAAATAAAATAAATAAATGAATATACCTAAGGATGGATATTAACTGTTTTGTGAATAATATGAGTCCGCAATGGAACGCGCGGCATTGTATGCGGAACCGTAACTCAAGCGCATTCAATAATCGAAAATTGCTTTACATTGCGTGTACGGCAAAAACATTGTAAAATAAATATTCAACGTTAAGAATCGCCAGCTTTGTCTGTCTTTGTTTCATATCATTTACCTCTATTTTGTAATCTCACTAAACACTGAATTAGTTAGATCTTTATATGGTAATAACAAAGTTCTAGTTACTACTGGTGGTAGGACCTCTTGTGAGCCCGCGCGGGTGGGTACCACCGCCCTGCCTATTTCTGCCGTGAAGCAGTAACGCGTTTCGGTTTGAAGGGTGTAACTATACTGAGAGCTTAGAACTTATATCTCAAAGTGGGTGGCGCATTTACGTTGTGGATGTCTATGGGCTCCAGTAACCACTTAATAACAGGTGGGCTGTGAGCTCGTCTACCCATCTAAGCAATAAAAAAAATAAAAAATATGGAGTGGATGGTTAACTAATTCTCGTTCACGATATAAGCCTCCGGGACACGTTCAACTATGAAGACACCTCAACTTGAACATCAGTAAAGTAAAATTGAGAAAAACTAAAAATAATTATCGTTTTTTTAGTATCGAACCCGCAACCTTGTTATAAGAACTACGAATTATACAGCTAGCTGGCTGTCAAAAGCTAATAAAGAACTTGCAACTTGAATAACATTCGCACAGGTCACTGACCCATTCATATCCAACATTGACATTCACATCGTATTGAAATGGAAACACAAATGAAATGAAAATTTCATTATATTACAAGCTGCATATTGTTATAGTAAAAATGTCATTTTACGATGACTGTGTAGTAAGTAAGCAAAATAAAAAATTTAATACCTAAAACAAAACAAAGTAATAAAATAACTACTGACCTTCGAAACAGCTTATTAATAAAATGAAGAATATTGCGAATTGTAGAAAATTCATTATTTTAAAACAACTATTATGTATTATTATTATTATTAAATGTGTCTATTGCAAATTAAATTTCGAACGTTTTAGTGTTGTTAAACGTTGAGCATAGCGTACGGACGCGGTAAGATATGCCGCCACTTTAAATACAAAACAGAGCGTCGTACATTAATATCCAGCTTACTTGAGATCGCGTCTGTACTACATACGATGTGATAACATGACGTATTATATATAGCCAGACGGGGAAAACAAAATAATGATTCATTCGAGAGTTGAAACATGGCGTTACATTTTAATTTTCTCGAAACTGTGCGATTTATTTTTATAATTCGATTATACACCATATTATAATTTAACGGTTGAGTTCTTACCACGATTTTTCACACTTCGTGAGTTCCCGATAATTCAGTTCAACTCTGTTGCAAGCGAAAACAAAAAAATTAAAACTCAAAGAATTAATAATATGTAGAATGTTTTATTATATGTTTTTTTAAGGTTTGAAACAATTCGTAATTTTGTTAAAACGTTACAGTGAATAAATACAAAATTTTAACAAAAAAAGAAAACCGAATTAAACAAAATAAAATGAGAATAAAGTTGATCCAATTTACCCTAATAAGAATATCTAAAAAACTAATAGTCAAATCTTAATAAAAATTAAATAGGACCACATAAGAAGCATCAGCTTTTGAATACCAAAAGAATGATCAAAACCGGTTCACCAAGAAAAAAATTATGAAGTAACAAAAAATACAGTCAAATTTATAATATTCTCCTTTTTCGCTGTGTTTGTTCAAACAATAATTTTGGAGCATACGAAATATTAGCTGTGTATAAGCCAAAATGATATTGAACCCTGAAAACATGTTTTTCGTGTCTACTCTAACACAATTCATACTTCATGCCGCAATTAGAATTTATAACTGCGACCGATTGCATTCGATTATCTACGCACAGCAGCATTATAAATTTAATTTAAAAAAGTAATTTTCTGAATTATCGGAAAGGCAATAAAAAATATATATATTTAATAAAAATAAAGAATAGATGTTGTGTTCTTACCTTTAGACTCCACAGTTTACGTACCACCGCCTACTTCGTAACATGAGGTCGATATCTCAATTCTAATTTAATACGACCGCCATTACGAGCTCATAATAAGCGCCACCTATGTGTTTACGTAAGCTTACAATTTTTTTGCGTTTGATGTTAAACACTATGCTCTAAGTCTTAAGTTTGCGTTTACATTATCTTTCCAATAAAATATATCACTGAAAAGTCACATCACAGTACTAACTTGACGTACATTAAACATAATAATAATATAATGTATGTATATTTATTATAACGCAGATATTTCTCTTACTATTTAAAAAAATATCGAGGGGTGAAAGAAATTTAAAAAAAAAACGTGTGGCACTCGGGAACTGCCACGGTAAAGCTATTGCATAGCATTTTTTATCAACTTATGCAATTATAATTAGACAATGATAATTTAATATTAAAACAATAATAAAACAAGACCACGCTATATTAAACATTAATAAAAGCAAAACCTTAACTGTCCCCTTCACACTCATACGCTAGACCGCGCGAGAGAGATGGGCAGACTTTTCATGATGCGCATGCAGTGTGACGTCACGCCACGCGCTAATTCACAAACACTACACAAGCGCAACGTGTGAATGTGTTGAACGCGAGCTACATGGTAGGCGGAGTGAGGGGTGTTAGGTTTTTTTCGTTACGGAATTTCATGATTCGGTCGCCGCGCTCAAGGCCCGCGATAAAAGCTATGCATACATAGCTTAAAAACATCGAATTGTTGATGCTAATACCAAATAAAACGGACCTTTAATTACAAATATTAATTTCGCTTATTAAGCAAAATGTCGCTTAAACCAAATAGGCTTTCACCCCTCGATACTTACTTAGATAGGTGACCTGATGGCTTTGAGGAGTCGTAAATAATATTTAAACACTCAAGGAAATGGGATAAAAACAAAACAATACTGTAATTAAATTCGGCTACCCGAACATAGTACGTAATGCTATCAAAACGTTAACAAAACTATTTGCTTATATTTATGCGCTAATTTTCGCAACGTCTGAACCAATTTGAACGTAGTTTTATCAGTAACGCTTCGAGATAAGCTTTGGCTAGCAATTTGGCTGTTTGTTTCATTTAAATCGGTTGATAGATAAAAAAGGCAATTTGTTACTTTTTATAAATAACGTTTTTAAGTCTGGTCTGTCCTGTATATTAAGAAAAAAGAAATATTTCGGTAAGGCTTTTTTTTTATTGCTTATATGGGTGGACGAGCTCACGGCCCACCTGGTGTTAAGTGGTTACTAGAGCCCATAGACATCCACAACGTAAATGCGCCACCCACCTTGAGATATAAGTTCTAAGGTCTCAAGTATAGTTACAACGGCTGCCCCACCCTTCAAACCGAAACGCATTACTGCTTCACGGCAGAAACAGGCAGGGTGGTGGTACCCACCCGCGCGGACTCACAAGAGGTCCTACCACCAGTAATTACCAAAGTTTTATTATTAAAGTCAGAATACAAATTATGTAAATACATTTGTGGTATTCAATGAACGTGCCCAGTTTCAAAGCCGCCATTCCTTTTTCGCAAAGCAAACATGATGAGTAATTCGACGATAGCATAATTTTAATATAGAATACAATTGAATATGCAATTTCGAAAAGGGCACATGTCTGAAAATGTAAAACGTTCAGGAAATGAAAAAAAACTGATTATTTTCTAAAGCATTGTAAAATTTAAAATATTAACTTTTAAGATATATTTTAGTGTTAATTAGCAATTGAAAATTACTGGAATTATTATAAAATAGGTGTAGGTAAGCCTCAAAACAACATGTATAATATGAAAAAACGTAATTGACAAAATATGCGACATGTGCCCTTTTCGAAATTGCATATTCAATTATTCAAAACAATAGAATGCAACAAAAATATAACACATACTTCGAGTACTGCTACCTAAATAAGCCGTTGACTAATATCCCGAGTCGCTAGGTAAAGTCCCGGGACAGGCTATAAAAGAGAGCGAATCTTGCTAACTCCTGTTAGTTCAACTTTATGCGTCAAAAACTGGATAAGAAGTCACAATGCTATCTATACTGTGTTTTGTGAGTGTTTTGTGCACTATACATGCATCAGTGATAAACATTAACATCTTTAATGAAGGTAATTAATATTTTTTACTAGTGGTAGGACCTCTTGTGAGTCCGCACGGGTTGGTACCACCACCCCGCCTGTTTCTGCCGTGAAGCAGTAATGCGTTTCGGTTTGAATGGTGGGGCAGCCGTTGCAACTATACTGAGACCTTTGAACTTATATCTCAAGGTGGGTGGCGCATTTACCTTGTAGATGTATATGGGCTCCAGTAACCACGTAACACCAGATGGGCTGTGAACTATGATCTAAGCAATAAAATTTTTTTTTTTCAAAGATCGTAAATAATATTATGTGCCTAATTAAAACAGAATTATGATGAGAAAACTTGAATAATATGGATTAATAATATAATATTAAAATTAAATAATTTAATACTAAATTACAATTACTTTTACGGTTTAATCTCGTGGTTTTTTTTAGTGATTATATTATTTCCGACGCTTCGAATAGGTACTTTACCTTTTTCTTTAGGAGAGCTGAAGGCCGGACTCGGTGGTATAATTTGAGAGGTATGTCTAGCAGTGGAAGACTGTAGGTTGATGATGATCATGACGAATACAGTTTTCGTGCTCAAACGATTAAGGTGCTGTCATACTAGCCATATCTCATATAATATCTATATATTAATACGTGAAGCAAAAACTTTGTAGCCCTTTTTACGAAAATTGCGCGGACGGAGGAGTATGAAATTTTTCACACTTATAGAGAATATAGAGAAGGAGTGCACAATGCTAATATTTTTTAAATTATGCATTAAAAATACATTAAATCAATAATGAAAACATTACACACACTACCATGTATTTGACACACACACACATATACTCTTCGTTTATTGTCAAAATTTTGTTATTGCTTAAAGTCTGTAGTCAAATTAAAAATAGGTTAATATTCTTTATCTTTAATATTACGAGTATTTGTCTATAGTGTAGTCTTGGCCAAATCTGTGACTATAGAAATATAATAGTCCAAATTTATAATTTTAATTAATTATAGTCGAATTTCGACTATTGTGGGAACACTAGTATTTAGTAAAACCACAAAACGGTTGAAAATAATATCGTATATAATAATACGTATTTACAAAGTAAAATCAATTTGCAATCCTGTTATAATTATAGGGATGGATCAACTCGATTTACCAATTAAAGTTACACTTAGCTCGAGTTAGCTCAAGTTGGATACTCGTTAACTCGAGTTTGATTCTCCCTAACTCGTCTTTAGGCTAGTTGTACATCAAGCGTGTAAGCGAAAAAGCTTTATTCGTTCGTTGTGTATGCGCTTTAAGATTTCGCCATAATGCATCAACCAAATAACAATGATGATACGATGCGAACTTTTCCAATAATATAGAGCCCCGTTCACTTGTCACAATATTAAATGTTAATTTTTTTAGATTAAAATCATCATTGACATGGATCGAGTGTGTGAATGACGATATGAGAAAGAGAGGAGTAAATGTTGAAATGACAGCTGATAGAAGAGAATGAAAGAGAAAAATTTGCTATGCCGACCCCAACTAGTGGGATAAGGGGGAGAAAAAAAAAGTTGTTGTAGTCTTTGCTTGGGGCCTAATAGAACGCCGTTTCATATATATATTGGAAATACGGCCATAATATTAATTGAATGGCCTAATATCATAATATTAATTGCCTAATATAACCGCATAATATTCATTGAAAAGAAGTACCCAAATATTGACGTTGAAAAGTTAATGCTTTAAAGCAACCGTCATTATCAGCGAATGGAACCATTTTGGTGAAACCCAACATAGAGTTGGATAGAAAAATAAACCTTAGTATGCCGGAACATAACTATAGCAAGAATCAGAAAACTAAGAACACTATCTATCGGGTACTACGGTAGACGCTTAATGTTTTCTTTACTTGAATAAACTTACATTAAATGAAGATATAGGTACAAAACATTAATAATATTATATATGTATTAGTTGTATAATATATTAATATAATAAATTAGCAGTTGAGTGGGACTTCTCGACCCCCCATGTCACATTTCTCATTGATTCAAATTAACCCACTCAGCCCATTGAGTTTCTCGCCGGATATTCTCAGTGGGTCGCGTCTCCGATCCGGTGGTAGATTCTGCGAAGCATTGCTTTTGCTAGGATTAGTGTTAGCAACACTCCGGTTTGAGCCCCGTGAGCACACGTTAGGATGAAGCTGAAATAGCCTCTCAAGGCTATCAGCAAAGGTAGGAAAAAAAAATCCGCGAATAGCTATAAGGAACAAAACACTCTCCATCCACTTTTAGTACATTGATTTAGGACTTTTTAAAGTTATTGAGTCTTGTTTCACTTCACGACGACAGCCTGTCGATAAATGTAGAATATGGTTGACGAACCCTTCCTCAATTCGGCCAAGCTCGGTAGTTTTACGAATAGACCTGGAATATTAAATATAATAATATTTTATTATTGTACACATACAACGCTAATGCATATTTTAACATTAAATACTAGATTTAACAAATAATAAAATAATAATAATAGGTCTTTAAATGAAATTTGTTATATATTCAGTTAAAATATCCATAATTTAATGATAAGCCGTAATAATAATATAGCGTATGTTCTTTTCAGGCTTGAATACAAATAAGACCTCAATTAAATTGCGTAACTGTGACGTTATGGCTTGTGACCAGCTCTGCCATGAACTTGGATTTCCAAGTGGCGCGTGCGATGGTGAACAATGCGTTTGCGATAATTTCCTCAAAACACGTGGTATGTTTAGTAGCTAAGTTATTTGAAGGTTTCCTTCCTCTTCTTCTTTTCTGTCATTAGCCCAGTATCGATTTTATTTTCATACTAGCTGACCCGGCAAACGTTGTTTTGCATTATAATTTTTTTCTAGGAAAGATAAATTAACCTAGATATCGACTGCAGCGTCATCTACCAGGCTGATTTGTGAATCTAAACCATCCAGGTTGCCACCCAAACGCATACAAAAAAAATCATTCAAATCGGTCCAGCTGCATAGGAGGAGTTCAGTGACAAACACACGCACATAAGATATATATATATAAAGATTAGTTACCCTCATGGCTCACCTATTATCAATCTTAACAAAATACTATGTTGTGTTGATTCTTAGGTTCACGCACAAAAACTGACAACCAACTACCTCAACTGGATTGTACTACGTCAGAGTGTGATCAATTGTGTCGCAGATTCGGATTTTCTGGCGGTATCTGTATTGGTGGACAATGCGAATGTGGAAATATACACAAAAATGGTAAACGAGTAATATATAGCATAATAAAGTAGTATATAGTTCAGATATTTCTCCGTAATTTTGTACATTCTATTCAATGTTCAATGTGTATTTTTTAATAGCAGACTTAGACAAAAATCAATCTACCCTCGAAGGTTGTAATATACGAGAATGCGATCAATCGTATCACCGAATTGGATTCCCTGGTGGGGTATGTGTCAACAGGCGATGCAAACGCAACATTATAGCTAAAACAAAGACAAGTAAACATTTATTCCTGAGATATACATCTTTGGACATCCATTAGTTGTAAACGTTTCCTTCATCACACATTGCGAAGGGCCTCTACTAAAGTGTCAATATGTCATTTTGAACAGCGGACCTAAATGAAAATCAATCTACCCTCGAAAATTGTGATATGCGAGAATGTGATCAATCGTGTCGCCGAATTGGATTTCCTGGTGGCGTGTGCGTCAATGGACGATGCAAATGCGACATTATAGCCAACAACAATATAAGTAAATAATATTGGGATAAATCTTGGGACTAATATATTATACTTGTTTTCTTGCACAGTAGAAACATTACATTACAAAATGCGAAATAATGTGTCATTGTAAACAGCTGATCTGGATGAAGATCGATCTTCTCTCAAAGATTGTAATAGCCGAGGATGCGATCAGTCGTGTCGCAGAATTGGATTTCCTGGCGGTGTGTGCGTCAACGGACGATGCAAATGCGACATTATAGCCAACAACAATATAGGTAAATAATATTGGGATAAATCTTGGGACTAATATATTATACTTGTTTTCTTGCACAGTAGAAACATTACATTACAAAATGCGAAATAATGTGTCATTGTAAACAGCTGATCTGGATGAAGATCGATCTTCTCTCAAAGATTGTAATAGCCGAGGATGCGATCAGTCGTGTCGCAGAATTGGATTTCCTGGCGGTGTGTGCGTCAACGGACGATGCAAATGCGACATTATAGCCAACAACAATATAGGTAAATTATATTGAGATAAATCCTGGTGTGCTTGCGCATTACATACATTACATTACAAAATCCTAAAGAATGTGTCATTGTAAACAGCTGATCTGGATGAAGATCGATCTTCTCTCAATGATTGTAATATCCGAGGATGCGATCAGTCGTGTCGCAGAATTGGATTTCCTGGCGGTGTGTGTGTCAACGGACGATGCGAATGCGATATTATTGCAACGCAATTTCTGGGTTAGTGGTATTTTATTATACTTGCGTCCATACCAATTTACGTTTTCGTCGCGACAGACTTAACTGAAAATATTCAATTGCTTATAGGAAAATTTATAAGAAATTTAAAATGCAACACCGTGGAGTGTAACGAAATTTGTCACCGTCTCAACTACGCGGGAGGGATCTGTAAAGGCAACGAATGCAGTTGCTATTGAGTTAATATTGCTCTTCAGAATGCTTCAGAATTGCTCGAGTTGAAAGTTTGCAAAAAATATTTTTATTCAGTTTCATGTATAATTTTTATATCTTTTTCTTGGAGACACATCTGGACTATAATTTTAAATTGAAATATAATCTTTAAAGTATTGCACATATGGATACCTATTGAGATAAATGCATTAAACATAATTACAATTTGAATTGTTTAATAAATAAAACATTTAAAGAAAGAATATTAATTAAACTTTGTGAGTTTGACGCTGAGAGATTTACGAGTATTAGTGATATCATCAACTGTAAAAATAAATGTCTGTGAGGTCATCCACCCGCTTGAAACTGCCAATTATCGCTATATTCCACTGATTTTTGTCAAGTACTCTGTTTCACATGAATCCCATATTGGCATTTTAAACATTATAATTTATTATAAATTATAATTTATATATTATATATATTATAAAAAATAAATTATTTTTTTGTACAGAAATTTTGTTTTTTCGTGAACACTATTTTGCAATAAATTTAACATTATCTGAAAAAAAGACTAAAGATTTTTATTTAATCTTTCTAAGTTTGGTATTCGCATATTATTATATTTTATAAGTCGTCGTGGCCTAACGGATAAGACGTCCGGTGCATTCGTGTTGAGCGATGCACCGGTGTTCGAATCTCAGGCGGGTACCAATTTTTCTAATGAAATACGTACTCAACAAATGTTCACGATTGACTTCCACGGTGAAGGAATAACATCGTGTAATAAAAACCAAACCCGCAAAATTATAATTTGCGTAAACACTGGTGGTAGGATCTCTTGGGAGTCCGCATGGGTAGGTACGACCACCCTGCCTATTTCTGCCACGAAGCAGTAATGCGTTTCGGTTTGACGGGTGGGGCAGCCGTTGCAACTATACTGAGACCTTAGAACTTATGTCTCAAGGTGGGTGGCGCATTTACGTTATAGATTTCTATGGGCTCCAGTAACCACTTAACACCAGGTGGGCTAAGAGACCCATCGAAGTAATAAAAAAAAAGTACCTGCATTCTGCCTCGACGCAATCATATGAAAGAGAGAGAGAGAGAGAGAATACACTGTATTGCAGACCAAATATGCTTCGGCTTAAAGGCTCTAACAGCCGTTATACTGTGGCGTCTTTAACTTTATGTCTTTAAGCGGACGTTCCTGCCGGTTTACGAAATCTGACGACTTCAGATACAGAAAAGGGACACGGAGATCTGTGACGTCACTGCCATAAATACAATCCACACGATCAACATTCTCACGCACCTCCCTATTCTTATACCGTTCATTTACTAACTTCGAAATTAAAACAAACAATACCTTCGACCTCTACACACTTCAAGAACTCGTTTACACGTAAACGAACCAGATATTTTATACGTACGATTGTGCGTAATCTTTGATCTGCAAGGCTCTCGAAACTTCCAAGATAACAGAGGGGAAGGTCTGACGCCCGCTGTCCTTCAAGTTAATTGTTAGAAGTTCCACAAAGGACGAGAGGTCTCGAAAGAGTAGGTACTCAACGCCTCCCAAATGTACGTTTCATTCTCCTGACATTACGAAGACGAATCTCTTTTCATTCCGACACTTATCTTTATTCCTATTGTTTCGTAACGTCGGTCTCCGTCGAATTTCGATAAATTGCGGGAGCTCATCCGAATTTCTGAATCGGATACGTAATTTTGTCAATTATGCCGCACGAATTTCGTGTGTTCGGAAAGTGAAATTTAATGAATTAATTAAAAAGTTGATAGATTCACTCTTGAAACTTTAGACTAATCTATATATATAAATGAATTGCTGTTCGTTAGTCTCGCTAAAACTCGAAAACGACTGGACCGATTTGGCTAATTTTTGTCTTGAATTATTTGTGGAAATCCAGAGATGGTTTGAAAAGTAGATAAATATGAAAATGCTCGGAAATAATAAAAATAACAAATTTGTTTTTCCTTTGATGTGTCGCCCCGTCGGATGGATTCCTTTTGTTTGTTTTAAGTTTATTTTATACAAAAGTTTAGGTATTTTATTTATCGATTGAGGCACTACGAAGTCTGCCGGGTCAGCTAGTATTCAATATAAACTTCAAAAGCATCAGTTAATTAACTTCGTTTCGTTCCAGAAAACACACAACTTTTCCTATAAAACTATTAGTATTTTTTTTCCATTTGATAAATATAAACTACAAGAGCTCATAGACAATGTGAATCACAGCACCCACCCTGATACATCGTAATCGGTAGTCTCAATTGCATTGTTTAACAACTATTCCACCCTTAAGCAATTAGAACCGGGAACAATTGATTACTTTACGACAGAAATAGATACGATGTTGGTACCTACCCTATATGTTAGAGGAAGTCTGAAAGTGGCACCTGTGATAGAGAAGTTGAAAAGTTTGGAATGATATGGACATATGATGAGACGAAATGAAAAAGAAGGTTGGAAACAGAGTTTTATGAGGAAGGATATAGAGGAAGAGGTAAACCTAAGAAGAAATGGATTGCGTGAAAGACTTTACGTGTAAGAGCGAAGAAATCATGTATGATAGAGGAGTATGGAAGGAGAAAACATGTTGCGCCGATCCCAGGTGACTGGGAGAAGGGCAGAGGAATGATGTTGGTACCTACCCGCAGTTTTACAATGCGCCCTACCTCTAGTAAATGCCGTGTTGGGCGATCGCAATCCGTTGACAAAGTGATGAGAGATTTCTACTGCTCATTATCTGATGAATCCAACAGTCGCTATTCACGACACCCAAGAGAAGATACCTGGGTCCTAAGACACATAATAAGCCATTATCTGGAAATACAGTTAACTAATAAAAACTATTAAAAAAAATGTTTTTGTTTATTTGAAATAGTTATTATGATTAGTGGTAGAAAGTTTTGTGAGTCCGCACGGATAGATATCACCACCGTGCCTATTTCTGTCTGAAGCAGTAATGCGTTTCGGCTTAAAGGGTGCGACAGTCGTTGTACTGTTACAACTGAGACCTAAGAACTCTTGTCTCAAAGTAGATGGCAGCATTTACTTTATACATTTCTATGCGCTCGAGTAACCAGTTAATACCAGGTGGGACGTGAGTTCTACGCTATTGTAAGCAATAAAAAAAATCTAGAAATTTTTTTGATTACACTACGATAGGATGTGACATCACCAGAGTGATGTTTCATCCACGTTTCAAATCCATGTGCGTTGCTAGACAAATTTTGTATTCATTAAAACGAACATTTAAACTTACTGAATAACATAATAAAATATAATAAGTGACTAGTAATAATAATGGTGCAAGAAAATACTGAGATTAAAAGATTAAAATTTTTATGAACGACGAAATTTGATAACAAATTTTGTGTCTCTGTCTGTACGGTAGGCAGCGGCTTGGCTCTGCCCCTGGCATTGCTGAAGTCCATGGGCGACGGTAACCACTCACCATCAGGTGGGCCGTATGCTCGTCTGCCTACAAGGGCAATAAAAAAAAAAAAAAAAAAAAAAAAAAAAAAAAAAAAAAAAAAAAAAAAAAAAAAAAAAAAAAAAAAAAAAAAAAAAAAAAAAAAAAAAAAAANGTGCGTCAAATACATGGTATGTAGTGTGTGTAATGTTTTCTTTATTGATTTAATGTATCTTTTATGCATTATTTTAAAAAAATATTAGCATTGTGCACTTCTTCTCTATATTCTCTATAAGTGTGGAAAATTTCATACTCCTCCGTCCGCGCAATTTTCGTAAAAAGGGATACAAAGTTTTTGCTTCACGTATTAATATATAGATATAAATGAATTGCTGTTCGTTAGTCTCGCTAAAACTCGAGAACGGCTGGACCGATTTGGCTAATTTTGGTCTTGATTTATTTGTGGAAGTCCAGAGAAGGTTTAAAGGGTTGATAAATATGAAAATGCTCGGGATTAAATAAAAATAACAAATTTGTTTTTCCTTTGATGTGTCCCCCCGTCGGACAGATTCCTTTTGTTTGTTTTAAGTTTATTTTATACAAAAGTTTAGGTATTTTATTGGTCAGCTAGTATTCAATATAAACTTCAAAAGCATCAGTTAATCAACTTCGTTTCGTTCCAGAAAACACACAACTTTTCCTTTAAAACTATTAGTATTTTTTCCATTTGATATATTTTATATCAACTACAAGAGCGCATAGACAAAGTGAATCACAGCACCCACCCTGACACATGAGATCGTAATCGGTAGTCTCAATTGTATTGTTTAACAACTATTCCACCCTTAAGCAATTAGAACCGGGAACAATTTATTGCTTTACGGCAGAAATAGATACGATGTTAGTCCCTATATATGTTGGAGGAAGTCTCTAAGTGACACCTGTGACAGAGAAGTTGAGAAATGCTCGTTTGCAATGCTATGGACATGTAATGAGACGAAATGAAAAAGAAGGTTGGTAAGAGAGTCTTATGAGGAAGAATATAGAGGAAGAGGTACTGGTAGAGGTTTACTGTTGGTAGGACCTCTTGTGAGTCCGCGCGGGTAGGTACCATCGCCCTGCCTATTTCTGCCGTGAAGCAGTAATGCGTTTCGGTTTGAAGGGTAGGGCAGCCGTTGTAACTATACGGAGATCTTAGAACTTATATCTCGAGGTGGGTGGCGCATTTACGTTGTAAATGTCTATGGGCTCCAGTAACCACTTAACACCAGGTGGACTATGAGCTCGTCCAACCATCTAAGCAATAAAAAAAAGTAGACCTAAGAAGAAATCGATGGATTGCGTGAAAGACTATACGTGTAAGAGCGAAGAAATGATATATGATAGAGGAGTATGGAAGGCGAAAACATGTTGCGCCGATCCCAGGTGACCGGGAGAAGGGCAGAACAATGATGTTGGTACCTACCCGCAATTTTACAATGCGCCCTACCTCTAGTAAATGCCGTGTTGAGCGATCGTAATCCGTTGACAAAATGATGAGAGAATTCTACTGCTAATTATCCGATGAATCCAACAGTCGCTATTCACGACACCCAAGAGGAGATACCTGGGTCCTAAGACACATAATAAGCCATTATCTGGATATACAATTAACTAATAAAAACTATTAAAAAAATATTTTTGTTTATTTGAAATAGTTATTATTATTGGTGGTAGAACGTCTTGTGAGTCCGCACGGGTAGATATCACCACCGTGCCTATTTCTGCCGTGAAGCAGTAATGCGTTTCGGTTTGAAGGGTGCGGCAGTCGTACTGTTACAACTGAGACCTAAGAACTCTTGTCTCAAAGTAGATGGCAGCATTTACTTTATACATTTCTATGCGCTCGAGTAACCAGTTAATACCAGGTGGGACGTGAGTTCTACGCTATTGTAAGCAATAAAAAAATCTAGAAATATTTTTGATTACACTACGATAGGATATGACATCACCAGAGTGATGTTTCATCCACGTTTCAAATGCAAGTGCGTTGCTAGACAAATTTTGTATTCATTAAAA